GAGAGAGAGAGAGAGAGAGAGAGAGAGAGAGAGAGAGAGAGAGAGAGCCCGGACGTGCGATTAGTATCATCTTTCAGCTTCGATCCGACATTGGGGAGTTTCTCACGTCCTTGGAACTATTCCGGCGCGATGCTACCTGAGAATCGGCGGCTTAACGAAGCACCGCACGAGTGATTCGCGCGACGGATTCTAGCTTCCAGCGGGGACTCACGGACCGCCGACGGGGTGGATTTCCAAGCGGAACTCTCGCCGCGCGCGCAGGCAGAATGCAGAAAGCGCTGGCTAGGCCCGAAGCGCGGCCCTATTGATTTTAGAGAACCTTCCCCGTGCGCAGAGTGAGAGAGAGAGAGAGAAAGAGAGAGAGAGAGAGAGACCGCTGGCAATTTCGCTCACCCTGCCGCCCCTCGTCAAGTTTTCGAGAAGGGTCACCCCCCTGTAATTTGAATATACGGCACACCCCTCCGCGCGTATAGCTCCCTCCGAGCGAATCGCACGTTCGGCATATTTTGCCCGCTATTGCTGCTGCCGCTTCTCTCATTCCCGTCCTCGCGGTCGAAATACCCCGGGCGAGTCGGAATACTCGCTCAGCATTGCGTTGTATTGTTGTACACGTCGTTGTCGTCGTTGCGGGGTGGACGTCGCGTATGTGTGTGTGTGTCAAGTCGCCGTTTCATGCTTAGCTTCTCTCGCGTGAGAGACAGTCGATCTGACCGGACGGAAAGACACTTTCGCGTTCTCTTCGCTTGTCGTCGTTGTCGTTCTAGTAATAAACAGAACGCCCGGAAACGGAAGCGGTCGGCTAGAGGTCTGCACGCTCGTGAGATATCACGCGCGACGATAAAACGTACTACGACGGCGACAACAACGTCAACGTTTGCGGACGTCGATTGCGGAATTAATTAGTTTCGCGACATTTAGCTGAAAACTACTTACTCGATCGTCGGGAACGCAATATTTTCGCTTGTCTCGTGTGTCAGCGACTTCCTTTGTGCGCAGAAACTAAATTCTCGGGGTTTCAGGTTGGTCGATGATGCTTAGAACTTTCGAGCACGCACGTACGCAAGTATTCACATGCACACATGCAGCGAGAGAGAGAGAGAGAGAGAGAGAGAGAGAGACCGCAGTTAGTTTAAATATGCTATTAGGTTGGTTCAGAGCTACATATTTTTGTAGTTAGTTAAATAACTATTGCAACAATCAACTTGACTCATTGGCAAACAATATTTTTCACAATTGCAAATCAAAAATTTTCAGATTGATATGCAACACGTTTATTTTCATTGAATTTAAGTAGATTAATTAATTGTTGATCGCTAAAGTCTTTTCTTATAAACGCCATCAAACGTTGATATGAATGAGACATTTTGCAAAATGGAAATATTTCGGCAAATGTAATATGCACCCTATGTGAAAAGACTTGTGCACGGAGGAAAAAGATTGATTGAATTAACATGACAATGACACAACTAAACCCGTTTTAGTTGAAGGAAACAGAATTTCTGGTTCTTATGAAACAAATTCGTCTCTGGAGGCTTCTGGATAATCGCTGTGGACATTTTGATTTATGAAGCCAGAAGCGCGAGAAAATATATGCTAAAAAATCTTGCAAAATACGTTAAACAGAACAATATGTTCACATAATTTTAGAACTTTTTCTATTTTTAATATCTTTCAAACTACATTTTGAGCTATTTTTTAAATTAAAGTTGAGAGGTTTTAAAACTACTATGATATTAAAGACTAATATACAGATACACAAATTTCTAAATTACTCTTTTGCTCTCAACATCCAGCGGTGGAAAGTTTATAATTTACATAGTAATATTCGAGATATATATATATACATATTTAAATATTTGTGTATGTCTTTTTATTTTTTAACTGTACATCTTTATTAGATACATTGATGTATAAATAAAGTACTCATCGGAGAAATAAGAAAATAATATTTCTTTCTTTCGCATTTGTAATATTATGTACACATATTTATTTCAATTCCATATTAAATTAACAGTGATACGTATGCGGCGAAATAAATGTATAGAAACGTAATTTTGTTTGATAAATAATAAAATTACGAGTGGCTCTGTCGGTAAGCCACTGAAAATACGGCGCCTGATGAGACTACCATTTTAAGAACGAAAAATTTTGTTTTCTTCAACCAACACGTATTTAGTCGTGATGTTGTCACGCCAATGCAACCAATTTTTATTCTCCGTGTGGATCACTCTAATAGAATATTCTAAAATTCGGATTGTTTTCTCATTCGAGGTCGACCGTCGCGCCGTAAAGACGTAAGAATCGAGCTGCATTATTCAATCGGCTCGGCGGCGGTAGATTTGCGTCGGGGCCGCCGCCGACTCGTGCGATTCCGCGCGATTTTTGCGCGAAAGCGATTCTACGCGGCGCGACCGCGCCGGCGCGAATTCCCGGCATACGAAATTCACGTGGGGCTCGTGCACATCGCGCGCGGGGCGAACGAAGCCGGCCACGATAATCCGGAGAGCTTATCGATCGGCACTCTAGTTGGCAACTTGGCAGCGGCAAACTCCCGGAATTACGAATGAAATGCTCCACATAGCGACGCGGTTGGCAAATCAGATCCGCTTTCATACCTTTGCGAGGGAGGATACTGCGAATTCCGATTCACCTTCCGGACCGAATCGGTCGGACGTCCGACGACGAAAATGCCTGGCAACACCACGTCATCGTTCTGTTGAGATATCCCCCCTCTCTCTCTCTCTTAAGTAGACAGATGTATGTAAATTTGGCAGTAACTTTATTAGCCAATTTGTAAAGGTTACATTTTCTTTACGAATAACTTATATTTATTACATAGAATAACAAAACACGTGAGAAATATATATATATATATATATATATATATATATATATAAAGGATCAAAATTTATTTCAAATATGTCATGCAAAATACAATATGAATATCTGAAAGTAATTTTGAGTAAATTTCTTGCTGTATTGATATAACGCAGAGTTTACATCAATGTATAAAATAAATTTAATGATCAATTCAATATATTGTATTTGTGCTTCGTAAATATAATTAAAATAATCGTCAAGTTTTTCCATCATCGATTGTTTCACGTTGTGACAATGGTGGAAGGTATTTGTCTCTCTCTCTCTCTCTCTCTCTCTCCCTCTCTCTCTCCCTCTCTCTCTCTCTCTCTTTCTCTCTGCGTGATTCTTTCGACGTGAGAAGTCGCGTTTTAATTCGGCCACGTCGCCGCACATTCGTGGATTCGTCCGTTTCTCTTTGCGACACGGCGCGTCCATTATGCCACGCTCGCGAAGAATCGAAATGGGCCGACGAAAAATAATTTTCACATCGACCCTATCCTCTCTTTCTATGTACAGTCTGGTGATTGAATTGCAGCGAAAGGGAAGCGAGACTCGCGTATGTCAAAGGGTTTGAGGGTTCAAAGGAGGGTTCGGTGTGCGACGGGGCTGAACTTTTTTCTCTCTCTGTCTCTCTTCCCCCTCACCCCACATCTCCCTGCCCCCGTTGCAAGCCGTTGTTCGAGTTTCGGGATAAATCTCGGATTGGATGAAGTGGATTTCATGCTGCTATTCCGCACGGTCGCGAGGCTCGTCACATAGTTGTGTGTATTGTAACCTACGCGCTTTCTAGCAGTCGGTATTCTCTCTATTCGCTTGTTCCCTCATTCGGGTTCATACTTAAAAACCTGTGGGGTCAGTGGTGCTCACCATATGCGTGCGCGCGTCCGCCATCGTCGCGCAGAGTGACGCAACAATTTCAAGTTGCACAATCGAGCCCACCGAAACGCTTATGAAGCGCTAAATGGCGAGTTGAAAATAATATTAAGAAAATAATGTCACGAAATATTTACGTCCTCGCCTTTTCCCCGTACGACGTGCAGAAGGACGACTGACGCACGCGAGACGCGTTGAGATTATGACTTTTCGTGACTGGGAACTCTTGTGATAAGTTGAGCGGACTATCAGATTAAATTCTTAAACTGCATACGTGGATGGTCGACAAAGAAAAAAGAAACTGCCACGTGACGTTGCGCAGCACCGACTGATTGAACGTTTCGTCGTTGTCTTTGTGCTATATCGTATTCATAAATGAGTATTCCGATGTTACTCGTGTGAAAGAGTTTCATGGATCGTGAAAAGCCACACGCCGAAGTCTGAGTTTGAAGGAATATCATTACGACCGATCATATGCGCAATCCGTTGTAATCTTCTTGTTAGTTTTCTCTTTCATTTTTAATATTCTCTCATTATTGCATAAAAATATCTGTCGTATAATCCGTCGTATTTCTCCTTTCTATATTTCTCTTTCTCTCTCTACTTCTAATATACTTTACTACACGCTAAAAATACTTAAATTTATACAACATATTTTTGCAGAAATATTTGTTGAAGTTTATAAGAGAAGAAAAAAATAATAATTACAATAGTTACATTAAAATGTTAAGGCCATGTGTCGAGTAATTTCTGAAAACACTGATTTGTGAAACATATCTAGAGACTTGGAATATTCATCAGAGCTAATATACACAAATCCGATTGACAAAATTGAATCTTTTATACGTTGTATTTTATGAAATTCAGTGTGAAAGACATTACCTGAACGAATCACTTTTGCTCCCATACAACATAAATCTCCAAAGAACGTTCTAAGGATGTTCTAAGGACATTCATACATTCTAAGAACGTCCTCCAGAACATTCTCTGAAGTTTTTGTGCTGTCTAGGTTGGTATATGAAAGCTGAATATCTGAAGAGGATCACAGGATATATACAATATCACAATTAAATACATTATACATGAAAAAACAGATTAGAAAATATTCATATTTTCTCCAAAGTTAAAATTTATTAAGATCTATTAAGTAGAAAATCTATTGGGTAGGAATGTGGTAAGATAATAGCATAAGGTAATAAATGTAATTATACAGAGAGGGAGAAAGAAAAAGAAAGAAAATAGGAGTGATAGAAACGAAGCAAATATAAAGAAATGTAATTACACAAATGAGATGACCTTTCTGAAATTACTCACTGAGAATAGCGTTACGAATTCGTATTCGTAATTATATGGCACGTATTTCTCTGTCTGGTGTAGGCGCCATTCCTAAAAGGGCGATGAATCATGGAGCCAAGGGATATTTGAAAAAGAAAATACCATAGTCAAGCTAAGACCTGTCGATTTGTTTTGCTAGCTGTTATGACCGGTCGACGATGACGATGGTGCGTCCGGAAATGCGAGACAATTGTTTCCATAGAAAAGTCACAAGGTTGGAACGCTGAAAATTTGGATTTGCTAGACGAGCCCACTATTTGGTACCTCGTTCCAGCGTTAATACGCTTTGAGAGTCACTGACACACGCAGACGGCCCGTATTCGGGACGCAGCTGCGGCCGCGAGCTGCCACCGCGCGTAGAGGACGGTCACGTGATAAAGCGTCGTGGTGGGCCAAGCGGAGTGGCGATTGGCTCGCAGTCCCCTACCCCCGTCCGGCGTTGCTCGAACAAAGAGACGAGGCTATCTCATTCGTCCCCGCGAGCGCTGCCATTAGAAAGTCGTCGGCAGTCGATGAGTGCGGGTGTTCCGCGAATTGGACGAGAAGGAGCGAATTGCACGTCGGAGTTTTCCAGAACGCGCGAGGGCTTCGCGAGAAAGTTTATTGTCGGGTCGAGTCCGTCGCGCGCGCGCGCGCGATAGTCCGGGAAGAGAGAAAGAGAGAAAAGAGCAGAGCGGAAGGTTCAGGAGAACGGGAATTCGTTATTGAGTTCTACCGTCACTCGTGAAAATCGTATCGTTCGCCGATCGAGTTCGAGATTCTCTCGCGATCGGCGCACGTCAGCTTCCGATCCGGTGCGTGGCGAAGCGTGACGAACGAACGACCGTTCGATTCGCGACGACGACGACGACGACGACGACGACGACGGAGAAGAAGGAGCCGTCGCGGCAAAGTCGGAGCACATAGTGGAAGAACGCCGCGCATACGCTCCTGCCCGGGAGATCGATCCCCGACGGCGACGGTACGCTCGCTGACGCGCCGTACTTTCGTCGCATCGTCGTCGACGAGAATCCTCGACGAGGGACGCCCCGGCGGTTTCGCTTTTCGCGCTGGAGCGTCGACGACGTGCAAGTGCCGCAGCCGTAGAGCGCTACGCAGCGACGTGGCGACGACGCCATTTTGTAACTGACACCGTACTGCGCTTCTTTCGGGATCAGCACCGTCGTCGTGCCTACTCTTCAGGGCCGCGTCGTGATCCGTGACACGCGCGTATCTTCGATCGCGTTCGTCAGTGTGTAGTAAAATATACGACGTGGAGCACTTCGCCTCGAGAAGCTTGCGAGTTGGAGAGAGAGACAGATCGAGAGAAAAGAGACAGTGTCGTGAAATAAGCGTGTCATCGGTGGAGCTCGTGGCCGCGCATCATCGAGCCCACTTTTTCCTCCGTGTCGGCAATTAATCCAAGTCCCATATTATCCCGTATTTCGCCGCGCAGTCTTCGCCCTGGGTCGCGCTAAGCGTAATCGTCGTCAAGTATGAGACTGGAAATCGTGTCGGCGGCTGATTTTCTGGTGCACCTGCTGCGCCTGCAGGCGGGCCAGCTGTCGGAGCGGCAGCTGGAGATGTTCAAGTCGTCGTTGACGGAGGTGCTGCGCCATCGCTACCGTGACCACTGGTTCCCGGACCGGCCGAACCGCGGCTCCGGCTATCGTTGCATCCGCATCAACGGCAAAATGGACCCGGTGATCGCTCAAGCGGGCGCGAACGTCGGCCTGCTGCCGACCGTTCTCCACAGTCTTTTCCCCAGCGAGCTCACCATGTGGATCGACCCGTCGGAGGTTTCGTATAGGATCGGCGAGAACGGTTCCATCTGCGTGCTGTATGAGCGCACCGAGCCCGAGCCGGAGGAGATTATCACCTCTCAGCAGCACCAACAGCAACATCAGCACCAGCAACATCAGCACCATCACCAGGTGCAGCATCAGCAACCGTCTTTGGTGCAGCAATCGCCACCGCCGCCGCAGCAGCAACAGCAGCAGCAACAATTCGAGAGTTGCAAGGACTCGCTGATGTTGGAACACACGCAGTTCAGCGAGCAGATCGCCGCGTTCGTCTCCAGCTGAATTGCCGGCCACCTCGCCGCTCGCATCCACGCTCTCGAAATAATAATCTAAGCGCACGTGCGTCGTCGTCTCGTGATATGTGATATCCCTTCGCGTCGGACCGGAGCTGGTCCGCGCGCTCTCAACTTCTCGTGGACTCCACACACACACACACACACACACATACAACACACACAACGCACACACGTATACATATATACATGTGCGTATATACATATATATATGCACGTGTATATACACATACATATATATATACACACACACATACATACAACACACGCGCGCGCGTCCTGCTCCTCCTTAAACCTTTCTCCTCTTTGCGTTTTCCTTTTTGTTTGTCCTGATCGGTGCGTCGAGAGTCTTGGACGAAGAGTCGATTCTCCGTCGCTGCTTCCTTCTACGCCTCGGGTACTCTCTCTCCCTACTCCTTTCTCTACTCTATCTTCTTTCTAATTCCAACTCTATCATCGCCTCCTTTGGAAACGGAGTTTGATGATAATGATGACGATAACGATTCGGCGTGCTCGTCCCTCCTTCGAGCGAGTTCCTGCTACAGACGAAGAGAGTCATCCTATGGGAACGCGAGCTCGTCCACGCGCGTCGGTCGACGACTAAACGACTCTAGTCCAGTCTCGCGCTCCCCGGTCCTCCTCTCGCTCGTGTGCGAAGGATAGTCGAGGACGAGAACGTGCGCCCGCACGGAGGAAAAACACAGCATTTCCCTACGACGACTAGTCCGATTCGGCGAAGAACGAGATTGGAAGCGTGCGGAAGAGCTCGCAAGCGTGTTCGTGAAGCGAGTAGAGGAAGAGTGTTGGCCAGAGGCAAACGAATTGGAGGGATCGCGGACTAGTCGATTTTGTTTAACCCGGCGCGATGCCGTGCGGATCGTCACAGCTGCCGCCGCCGCAGTCATAGACGACGAGTCGATTCTCCCCGTCGGAGAAGGGACGCGCGACGGCCGTCGCTGCGCGAGTTCGGAAGAACGGAGCGAAACTCTCTCCGTGTGTCTCTCTCTCTCCCAGTCCGACTAATTGATCTCAACACCTCCTCCACCCGCGTACCTCCGAGTGTCTCCCGTGAGCAGCCAGCAGCCACGCGAGGGAGAAACAACGAAGACCAGCAGCCAGCCAACCAGCCTCATCGCCCTTCCGTTATTGCTACGTTCCCGAGGAAGTAAAGGAACCGTACTGCACACATTCACATGCATACATCGCGTACATTCACACGTATACCCAGTCTCTTTGTCTCTCTACCCCGTACGACCAGAGCCTCTTTTCTTCCACGTACTGCGTCGTCGAATGTTTCGACCTGCGAGAACTTTAAGGTTTGTACACACCGAGGGAAAGCTATATTTCCGATGCGAACGTTTTTGCGATTTGTGTATATGTGCGACGGAGACTAGTTCTCCAACTTTACGTGACTTCGCGTACATCTCGCTTCGGTCTGTACGAACTTCGAGATGAGAACTGTACGGGTAAAGGAACGGGATGAGAGCCGATCGTTCTCCATTCTCGTCGTCGTCGAGGATCTTCCTCGAATCTCACTGTCAATTTCTCACTGTCAATGCAGATTACCACCGAGCCACATACACACGTTACACTTGTACACGAAATCAAGACGCGCGCGCACACACACACACACATACACACGCGCGCGCGGTCCGATGATTCTCTAGTGTATAACCGGTTGATTCCGTCGAGTTAAATCCTTCGTTAACGTCAATTTTGCGCGAGTGTCAATCGCGAAAGTAATGAGACATAGTTGCGATGCGACATTTTCTGGCGCAAATGCGCGATTCTCCGGATATAACATCGATTTTCCGGGAAAACCTAATGTGCGTGTCGCATTCGGCGAAATTACGTTTGCGAAGGTGTCAATTCGATCCCAAATCTTTGCGAATGTTATTTCTCGAGGATAGCTATCGATAGTGGAAGATTCCATCTCAGCGATGGAACTATTCGAGAGCGATTCTCCACGGTAGAATTGTCAAGAGCAAGTTTTGAATGTGCATGAACACACACACACACACACACACACACACATACAAAAGTTCAACTTCATGAAAGCGTGCGAGTTTATATGTGTACATATTATATATAAATATATAGACGTTATGTATGTAGAGCACACACACACACACACACACATACACACACACACCCCGTGATACTCACGGTCAAGGAAGAGAGAAAGAGAGAGAGAAAGAAGGAGGTGAAGCGAAGTCGAATTCAGGCGTGTACACACCGACGAATTGTATATTATCTTCCGCGTGAGAGGAGACGAAAGAAAGCGGGAGAAAACACGACACGTATGAAATTGCTGTGATTTTATCCACGGGAAGGCACACGGGCATGTTTTTACTATCGAGAGAGTCGGTCTCGGAAAGTAAAGCTCAATGCATGGCGTGTATGTGTGTATGTTTGTCTGTCTCTGTACGTTTGCATGTTGTATGTAAGATTGATTGCGTTTCCGCGGATGTTTCGGCAGCGCGTTCGGGAATGATTCCGTGAGAGAAAGATTGGTCGCGCCTGTGTGCTGGTAAGGCTGCTGCTGCTCACCCGATACGTTTGCCCGCGCGCCACTCCGACAATAATAGCCGAGTCCGCTCGATTAGTCACGTTTCTGCTTCATGCTCGCGGCATCGAGGTTTGTTCAATTACCGTTACTTGACTTGAACCGATATACTTACCGTCATGAACACACACATACACAAACACAACACACACGCACACAATAGAGGGCCATGAGATCTCAACGCAGGACTGAATTCTCTCTCGACGGCGTCGCGGCTCGCGATTTTAGCATCTGACTGCATTCACCAAATCGATCATCGGGGTGTCGATATTTCATTACACGCGTAATAAAGACACCGGCAATTCTCCGTCACCACCTCCGCATTTTCCACCGCCAGTGGAGTGAACGCGTGAGAAAACGCAAGAGCGAGTACGGTGTGTGAAGGATCGAGTGTGCGAATGCGTGTGTGCATGTATGAGCGTATGTATGAACGGATGAAAGATGAGAGATAGATGAAAGAAGAGAGGGGGCAAGGAAAGGGACACCTATCGTGTTCGGCGTCGAACAAGAGAAGAAGGCCCTGCACGTAGCAATTATAGAAACCATGTCTGTGATTATATTAAGAATAGAGGAAAGAAAGAGAAAGACAATATAAAGCAATCTCCGTATGTAACGACCTAAAAAATTCGAGCGGCGTGTGCATTTTTACTATACATACCGGCGTGTAAATGCAATGCATTATTAAGGCTTGTCTGCAACACACGGGATGAGCTTGGCGTATAAAAAAAATAGAAGCAAAAAATAAAAACAATTTATTTCGCTTATACATGCCTCCTCCGTACTTTGGCCTCTTTACATCTCTCTTGCTCTTATTCAAGAGAAACCTCTTCGATGTAAGAGGGCTGGATTGTAATGGGGATTCCGTGAGTGAAATCAATTATTTCTGTTTCCTACTCCAACTTTTTGTACCTCAAGCTTACTCCGCGTATTGTAGACGAGCCTTTACATACAACGCGCGAAAACTCGATTCGCGAGCGAGCCGTATACACTTTCGACATTGTCACTTTGATTAGAGCTGAAATTATCGCATATCTTTATACTTCAACTGTGGTCGACGTGTTTTTCCTCTCGTGATTCGCGCGTTCACTGTCGTCGCGCAGCAGCACGGCCCTTTATTTTTGTCCAACATCAGTAATCGCACGAAACGACGGTCTTTTCATTTCTTTTTATAAATCGCGGTCGGTTGGGGAACTTTAAGCGCTTTTATAAAAAAATAAAAAGATGAGAACCGCGATACTTTTTTTATCTAGTCTTTTTTTAGCACTTCTCTCTGACACACTTTGAGGTGTCCTCTACAATTTGTGTACTGTTTGCGCTGTATCTGTAGCGCATACACCGTTTACTGTGTACGCGCTACATGCATACCGTCATGTGCGTGTGTGTGTGGATGTGAGTATGTGTGTGCGTGTGTGTATGTGGCGCGCGCGCGATATGTATGTGATCACGTGACTTTTTATTTGTAACATTGTAAATTGGCCCATCGAAAAGACTTTGTTGTTTTCGCGGCGCTCTTGTAAATCAGAAGTCAGAACTGGAATATCGAGGTCTTTCTTTGCTGCAAACGCCTCGTTGTGCCGAGGACAAAGAGTCATAATCGCGCCGACATTTCCTCGCGTCGAAGAACGAAGGAAAACATGGTCGATCGTTTCGTATCGGCAGTAGGGCACCATCGATCGTCCGACGATCGAAAGTAGTGCGAGACGAGGCTGGAGAAAGTGTGAGAGAGCTGGGCAGCGAAATCTCGTCGCGTTGTCCTTTAGACGGTTATTTTATCATGACGACCGACAAGACACACGCTGCTTTCCTCTTGTTTTGTTTTCGATTTCTATTTCGGGGAAACGCGATATCGGAAAGGGCGCGCTTGTTTGAGAGAGAACTATCCTGTAATATCTACGTTCATCCGTTCACGACACGCGTATTAAACTATAAGTATACCAGCGAATGTTAAAAAAGAATGAAAGAGAGAGAGAGAGTGTGTGTGTGTGTGTGTATGTATGTGTGTGAGTGAAAGAAAGAGAGGAAGATCGAGGATGAAAAGGAAAATCCAGGGAAGGGTACGCTGGGGTGAGAAGGAGTCGGAGTAAAAGGCGAGAATGCGAGCATTTATTTCGCGAATGAATTGTAATTATTATATATATATGTATATATATGTGTGTGTACGCGCATATATTATATATATACATAATTATATACATATATATATATATATATATATACATATATGTATACATATATACACATTTTGTAATTATACATAGAGTCCTTCAGGAAGAATTTGTACAAACGCTGGGACAAGGTACCAGCAAGTCTGTGATTTTAGCTTGGTTAATTCAGTATTTTTTTAAATAAAACGAGACAAAATCAAGATAAACGATAAAAAGAAGAGTTAGTGAGGGAGAGAGAAAGAAAGAGAGAGAAAGAAAGACAGGAGGGTTCACGAGAGAAGGGAAGAGAAAGTTTATGAAAGAGAGAGCGTGTGTGTCGGGTTGAAAAGGAACGTATGCATGTATATATATGAATGTATGAATCTATGTATGTATGTATATATGTATGTGTAGGTGTATGGGTGAGAAAAAGGAGACATCGAGGTGAAAGAAAAGGGCGGGAAGGTTGGATCTCAGAATTAAAATCTCGCGATTAATTTGCATATTCCGCCAGGAATTTCTCCATGCGATTCTACAACTCACGGGAAACCGCACCATCTTACACCTAGAATCATCCTTGAGGGCAACGTCTCGAGGATGAGTTTAGTTTCCCGACGCGATTTTTCGCACGCCCACCGAGACGTTTGATCCTTTCCTTCATGCGGAACGCTGCAATTACCGAGAGATTATAATTACTTGGATCACACACACACACACACACACACACACACACACACACACACACACACACACACACACACACACACACACA